CACGGAAGGATCGCCGGAGCCCAGCAGGTCGAGGTTGCGGTGGCCGGGAGCGGCCACTGCACTCCAGTCTGGGCGACAGAGTGAGACTCCAACTCAAAAAAAAACAAAAAACAAAAAACAAAACAAAACAAAACAAAAACCACTCCAACATTAAAATGTATAACGATAAAACATCTTATGCAGTAATGTAGAGGCATACTATGACGCAAAGTTTAAAAAGCAAGTGCTAAAGGGATATCGAATGAGTAATTTGTATTTACACATATTTTAATGTGCACATTTTAAAAAATTTATTGTAGAGACGAGGGCTCGCCAAGTTGCCCGGGCTGGTCTCGAACCCACAGGCTCAGGCAATCCACTCACCTTGGCCTCCCAAAGTGCTGGAATTACAGGCTGAGCCACCAGGCCCAGCCATAATCATCATTTAAGCTACAAATAATTGAGACTTATTTAGTCTTCATTAAGTGAAGAGTTCACTTTATAAAATAATGTACAAGCTAACTCTGAGTATGTGTGTGTCTGAGAAAACATATACCAAATGTGATCTGAATCTGTAGTGAGATGAATTATTTTTCTGCCTTATGCCTTTCTACATTAGTTTCTCTATTTACAAACTCATGCATTAGTTTTAAATCACAAAATATCGCATAAATTTTTTTTAATAAAATGCACTGGGCACAGATATTTTTCAAACTTTCAAGAGCAGTATTTTCATGCTCCTGGTATGTTACAAATCACAGAAATAGACGGGAACTTTAGAATGCATTTTACCAACAGAACACAATCTGGTCCTCTGACATACATAAAATAATGTATGATTACTCAGAGGGAAATATCACATAGGTGGGTAGAAGGATGAATGTTGTAACAATATCAATTCTTTCTCAAGTAACTCATGGACAACATAATTCGAATCAAAGTCTCAATGAATTATTTGGGAGGGGAGAAGGAAAGGAGGGTAGCTAAGTGTCTCTGAAAGAAGAGTCAAGTCCATATAAGCACAAAAATAATAAGGAAGGCAAAAAAGAATACTGAGAGGAGACTAACTGATCTGACATTAAAGCATATTACAACGTCATAAGAACTAAAACAGGGAAGAGCTGGTAAAAAAAAATGATCAACGTATTATTGCAACAGAATAGAAAGTCCCAACACAGATAATAATGTATGCTAAATTTTAATATATAATAAAGATAAAAAATAAACTATTTAACCAATAGAGTTGTGAGCATTTACTTAACTTTTCTAATCAAACAAAATGGAACCCGAGATTTACACCTTCCAGCAGAAGTCACTTGAAATTTCCAAAAAATGTTCTTGAAAAGAGAAAGTGTTCCCTTTTTCATTTCTTCCTCCTTTCTGCTAACTGGAATGTGGACTTAATGGCTGGAGCTTAGACAGCTATTTTAGATCATGAGGAATACATCTATCTTCAGGATGAGGAATAACCAACTAGAAGTCATGGTCCTGCCAGCAGCCGGCAAACGTGTCCTGGTCTGCTCACCACTCGACTCAAGTCATGGGAGCGAGCGATGTCAGCCTTGTCTGTGCCACTGGCTTCCTGCTCTTCTGCAACGTACAATTAAATCTCAATCCAACTGACACACCTGTCTGAAAGGTTGGAACCCACGGTACGGATGTGGCTGCCCAGACTGACCCTTCTGCAGGACCGAGGATTAGGAATGACTCCAAAGGGGGGGGCTAGGATGATTCGGTCACTTCCAGAGACCTCCCATACAAAATGATGCTATCAGGTCGTTTCTAATCAAATATCAATTAGGTTGCTATCAAGGATGTGGCACATGAGTAGAAGAAACAAAGAATGAGTTCAAGGGTTTTGGCTAAGCAACTGTGAGGGGGTGACATTGTTTACTCAGATGGGAATAACTATACTAGCACATTCTAGACCTCTCTGAAGATATTCTAATTTCTCTGTGAAGGCAAGAATCAATTGCTCACTTAGGACCCCTGCACTTTGCCCCACAACTTATTGTTTGTTTGGGGGTTTTTTTTGAGTTGGAGTCTCATTCCGTCACCCAGACTGCAGTGCAGTGGCCGCTCCAGGCCACCGCAGCCTCACCTGCTGGGCCCCGGCGATCCTTCCACCTCAGCCTTCCAAGTAGCTGGAATTACAGGTGCGCGCCACCACGCCTGGCTAGTTTTTGATTTGTTGTGGAGATGAGGTCTCGCCAAGTTGCCCAGGCGGGTCTCGAACCTGCCCCCCAATGTGAAGGGCCCTGCCTTGGCTCTCCTCGTGCAAACACACCCTTCCACACAGAGTGAAGCTTCCATGGAACCGAGAAGATGTTCTTCTCCTGGGCCATGCTCCAAGTGGGGCCCTGGAATTCCCTGTCCAAGGCCCAGACCCCTTCCAGGATCTGTGCAGGTGTCCACTAATCCAAGTGCAGGCTCGACCATCCACAGGCACCCCTAGGCCAGATGTACAGCGAAGGGATAGCTGGAGGTGGGGGAGAGGGTTTATGGAGACAGTCGGGGTGA